ATAGATAGATAGATAGATAGATAGATAGATAGATAGATAGATAGATAGATAGATAGATAGATAGATAGATAGATAGATACTTTATTGATAGTTATTGAACCCCACAATACAGTGACATTACACTGACATTGAAGGCACACATAAAATATAAAACAAAATATACAATATAAAATAAAAATAAAAATAAGATAAATACATTTTCTGTCTCCATCTTTGTGTCTATGTTTTATCAAAGGGATGTTTTGACTTCAAAAGCAGACAGCAGTCAGACTTATACATCACCAACTGAAACTTCTGTGGGATTTTACCCCTATTTAGTGCAGTACTGCAGAACATAAGGAAGTAAAAAAAATCAATCAAAACCAACAGAGTATCTGAGTCTCTGGGGAAGCAGAGGTATGAATGGAAAGTTTTTGGTTCATGCTCCTACAGAGAAAATGTGGGTGGGAAAAGCCAGTGGGTTATAGTCCCTGAACAGACTTCAGACAAAACTAAACAAGGCTGTGATCTGTTAGCAGAGCTGCTCTGGCCTATAACTGGATGTAGAAACATAATGTATGTTCTCTGTATCAGTCTGAAGCAGAGTGGAGCTGATGAAAACCAACAATAAATTATCATGCAACTTACAATTTTATGAATCTTCATCATGTTGTCAAACTCCTCATTAATCTTTTTGTACTTCTCCTCAGTATTTGGCGTGAGAACGTAGGAAGCCTCAGCGTCAGGGCTGTCGCAACCTCTGTGCTCCTTTTTGTTGAGGGCCTGTAGGTGAAATGCCCACAAGGAGAAAAAATGAGTAAAAGCTGACAACAGTTCTTACAGTTGCCTGTAGTTGACATTCATAGTAAAGACATGTTTTCTAAGATAGGAATACAACTGAGAACTGAGTTGGAACTCAAATCTTAGCAATGCATTTGTTTTCTTACAAAGCACAAATCACTAAACCACTTTGTTAAAATAATAAGAATGATAACTTTCATTTTTATTTTAAGTAAAATAATGGAAATAGAGTCCGCATAATGAGTGAATAGTCACTTCAGGTCAAGTCACTGTTATTTACACAGAACATTTAAAACAACAGACACTGAGCCAGTGCTTTCTAAAAGAGAACTTAGATAAATATTATAAAATTGCCTATAAAGTTTAAATCTTACAGTTAATAGTCTACAACATAATATGTTTTATAATTTTACCATCATAAAATATTGAGACCCTATAATATTCTATATGGAATACACACAATTATATCTATTTCTTATTTCCAGCTAGGGTATTGGCAAAAACAGCATGTGTATGGATGTGGCTGCTCCCTATCTGCTATGTGGTTCAAGAGCAGGAAGTACAACCAGCCACTGACAAGACCAGAAACCAGATTCCAGTCTCAAAAGGCTCACAGCATCGAGGCACCTCCCCAATGCTGAGGCCTTATTTACATTTCTGAAAATGAAATCCATGTCGGTTGTTTTTTGTTCCTTAATGCGGACATGAATTTTGACCCTTTGGTAAAACGTGTTAGTCATTTTGCACATTCCCCTTCTCAGACAGGACTGACTGACTGACTTACTTAACAGCTCTACGGTTGCTCATTGTACAGACTGTTGGTTCAATTGCTTCATTGTAAGCCACATTATTGGTATGATTGTAGGAATGGTAGTATCTGTCTGTCAGTCGGCCCACTACTTTGGTTCACACAAAAATATCTCCGCAATGAATTGTCTTTGGTGATCCGTGGTTGTTATGTAGCGCCACAGCAGGTGGCACCTTTTCCTCTACCCAGTGACATATCTCTACTTTTGTTTGGTGGATTAGCAGAAAAGGTTTTAGTTTGTGCACCACCATTTGCTTGATGGACTGCCATCCAAGGTTTTCCTGACTCAGAATGAGCATTTAGGGAAGCATGATCTGTCCATGTACAGTAAAGGCAATGAGTCTAGCATCATCAGGTCAAATACCTACATAATAAGCCATTTTTCCCTCATATTTTCACCATCAATCCATGGAGGGTTAAACATACTCGGCCTGCTCACACATGAGAAGTCTTAATCTTAGTTAGTTGCACTACTGTAGAAAGAAGGAGACTTAAAATGCAGAACATGTGACATAAAATTAAGATGAGTTCAAAAAAGGTTAAACTGTCAAGTGCTCTTAATCAAGACATTAAAACCCATCCCTGATCATTTTCTAGAGGTTACTGATGTGATACTCTGTATTTTATGGACACAATAATTGTTGCCTCCTCATAGAAATATAATGTACGAATGATCAACGCTTCATTGTTCTACATGTATAATAGCATCCTATCTGAGTTCATGCATTAACCAAACATCATCTGCCTACATAGTCTCTTGAGTTCCTATTTAATTAGTTTGACTTTATGAGCTCTGAAGCAGCGTGACAGACAAGGAGCTGGTCTGTGTAGAACAGACGTCAGCGGTAGCCTTCCTCCGGAGACGCTGCTCCACACAGTAGATTTCCTCATCTATATTCACACCAGTCTTTTAAACACAATGAACTAGAGTAAGCACATGTTTTTATAGCATGCCTGAAACAACTTTGGGTTTGGTTGGGCGTTTATAGAAGAGCACAGTGGATAGACAGGGAAATAGAAAGCAAAGAGTTGGCTGTTAATGTATCCCTGAGCACCATGGAGAGTAAGCCGTCAAATTAGATTCATTAGTGCAAACTCTTTAGTCTGTAAAAGATCACATTACAGTTAGCAGTACAACTAAGACAAATATCTACAGCACTGTAGAAAAGGCAGTGCTGGTAAATAAAAAGCGTTTTTGAGAATAGAAAAAATCTCAGTGTAGAAATAGCATTTTGCTTAAGCTTAGTTTAAAGGCTAAGGGCCAATGTAAATATCACCAATTCAGAAAAGAAAAAACAAATGCATTGCATTCAGAGTAATACAACATTATTACTATGACTAAAAAACATTTCTCATACATGAAAAGAGGATGTGGAACTGAAACGTATCATGTTAATAAATAACAGAAAACTCTGTTGTCATGATAAAATCTAGATTTTTAGACATATCCATCATACGATAAGTCTAAACCCAACTTGAATAACGCGAGGCATATTACAAGTGTATTTTTGAATCATTTGCAATCTTTCACAGGTTATTTCCTCATGGATACAATTTGCTTTGTAACATAACTACTGATGATAAATTCATTTAAAAAATATAGAAAGTTAGTGAGTTTAGAGAAGTTAGATAAATAACTTTATTTCTCTGTTCCTCTCTGTTTAAGAGATTTTTTATTTTTGGGGAAAGCTATCTGCTGTGGAATGAGGTCAAATAAGGTTGGTCAAAGTTAACCAAATAGGAAAAGAGCAAAGTTTCGGTCCATAACACCAAAACAGTGAGCTTAATGACACTAAAACTCTACATTAGGCTGAGTGGACATAAAAAAAACCCTGTATGGTAGCTTTTTTCAAATACATAAATCCAACATGTGTCCTGGATTATATTAAAAGCAATACATTATTCCCACTGTAAATACAATGAATCCAGGCATGGAATTGGCACTGTCAGCTACTTTAGAAAGATTGGGTTTAGATAATTGGTTTAGAATACCGACGGATGAATTTATGGATGTCACCTTACAGCACCTGGACTTTGGCAGAGTAGTAAGTGTAAAAAAAAAAAATCAAATCATAGCAACATCATGCAAGCCTGTATGATGACATAATTTCTCTGGTATTCATCATCTCATCCCTGCTCCTCATTACATTACACGTCATAGTGTGAAAAGGACAGACTGACAGACCAACAAGCGAGCCAGCTGAGTGTCTGTCCACCACATGTCCTCTGCATTCCCAGACACTCGTAGTTACTTGACGCTTTAAACACACACTCGCTAGTCTATTTTCACCACAGGCTGGAAATGCTACTTTCACAACTGGTGACCACTTGAGAAGTCGCACGCTCAGTTCCTGTTCAGTTGATTGGTTACTCCACGCTCTACACTTCAAGCTGTACAGTTTAAAATTACAAAGGGCCCACATGTTTTTTGGTTTTGCACTGTTTAATTCAAGACCAGTTTTACCTAATCCTGTCACTCTGCGTGTTTGTTGGACCTTTTGATAATTATTACATTTTGTCTAATTATGACACATTATGTGAATTACAGAGGCAATTACTTGCTGTTAATCAAAATGACATTATTCACTAGTGATTTAAAATTCTGTGAATTACAGATAACGTGGCTGCGACAAACATTCTGACACATACAGTAAAGGAAAAAAGACAACACAAAATGCGCCCAAATTTGTAGAACTCCTGCAACAACCTTAGTTCCATTATCAGTGACAGTTTGGAAGAATCACACTGTGCATTCTGTTCAGTCAACAGCAAATGCCAGTGGCAAGTCCATCTATACACAACACTCTGTTGTTTCAATATACAAATTAGACTGTAACATTCACTGCCTTTTCCTTGTAAGTAAGGGATAGAGGCCTGTGCCTGCTCCAGTAAACCGGTGCAGTATCACATATCTGTCTTATGACAACAAGATTGCTGCGTAGAAGTGTTGTGATACATAACCTACGCTGTGATATCACATAAAATGACACTAGGATGTGTCTGTGTACACAAGAAGCCCAGCAATGCTGTTAAAATATTCATCTCTGCTTCCATGGGCTACAATCTAATGTCTGTCATGAGAAAATAAAGTCAGGAACAGAGTCTTGGCCTGGCTGCTAATTTGGATCAAATTACTGCACATAAACTGTCTGACAATCCCAAACTTGTATCTGAATACCTGCATATACTGTAGGTATACCTACTATAGGCCTGCCAAGTATCTTGCAAAAATATATGCTGACACAACTTCAGAGCAAAACACACTATAGAGCAATGAGATTCAGAGTATGTTTAATCTGCAATCATTGTCAGTGATGCGAGGAGATGTGAGCCAAACTATGGCAAATGGAAAGCTTCTAGCTGCTCAACATCAGAAGATTATTAGTGTACAATATTGCTCTGATTTAAGTGTGAACTCTCCTTGACCTCACAACAAAAGTTTTTGTTTTCAAGAGAACAGCTGTTACCATTCACACGATCACTCCTGTGCCTTCAAATGTTTCACACCATCTTAGGACAGCTTTAAAGTTAATCCTTAGATATGGAGGAGTCCCAGTTCCTTTGATACAGGTTGACAATAAGTTTTTTTCTTTATAGACGTATAGACATATAGTGGACATTGTGAAGGAAGAGACAGACAGAGTAGACCCAGGAGAGAGGGGTCCACTGGGATTTGATCCAAGACCCACAGGGATATATATGTGTCTTCACAGATGCTGGTTTAAACCGCTACATCATGTCTCGCCACTGAGGACTATCTTAAAGTGTCTGTAGAGGATCTGAGAGTGTGTGTCTCCTTATCATCTCAAATGTCAAAGCAGGCTTTAGTGGATCTCCAAAGGCATCTGGATGATTGCCACCATGAGGCACAAGCTGCACCGCTAAGCATCTTAACATGTTGCTGTTGGGGCTGCATCAAAGATAAAATAAGGCCCCCTCTTTCCCTGGAGTAAGTCTTTTCAAGTCGAGTGATTGCCCTATAGGCCAAGAATAGGCCAGGCGCACGAGTGCTTTAGATGTGATCCGACACATCTCTGGCAAAGCTCACACACTTTCAAAGGACAGGGCACACACACTTTGCACGGATTGCTTTTGTATGAAGCATCCCATCATACAAAACTAAACCAAATGTGCCGTTTGTCACAGTGTCAGGTTTCATTGTATTGTTTTCTCCTTCTGTTATGAACTTCATTCATCTCTGGGCTCTGCAGGCTGACACGATGGCGCTGCATACCTTGGACGGCTGCTGTGTTGTTGTTGAAACTCAATTCTGCTGGACACAAACCTGTCTCAATTATTATGACAAAAGTAATCTGTCAAAGAGATTAGCTGAGCAGTGAGGACTTTGTAGCTGTTTTAGCTGGCAGCTCATCATATTAAAAAAAATTTCTCTGAGTTTCCACCTCAGTTTCAGGTTGACATAACAATTTGATTACCCCCATATGGAAATAGATCTGTTGTGTATTTCAGAAGACTGGCTTCCAACATATAACATCAGCACTGATAATTTGCAAACCTGTCTGTCAGATGAACTAAAAATAGGTCATGATATTGTTTTATTATAGTAACACCGATAACCAATATTAAGTGTCACTGATTAAGTCTGCAACTATATGCAGAACCGAGTCATTATTAGAATCATGTTGTATTTCGGGCTGCAAGGTGGCTCGGTGGTTAGCACTGTAGCCTCGCAGCAAGAAGGTCGCCAGTTCGCACCCCAGTGGGGACACAGGGATCCTTCTGCGTGGAGTCTCCATGCTCTCCTCGTGCAGCGTGGGTTCTCTCCGAGTTTTTCAGCTTCCTCCCACAGTCCAAAAACCTGTTGAGGTTAATTGGTGATTCTAAATTGTCCGTAGGTGCCACAAGTGGGTATCAGTGCTGGTCAGTCTCACTTTATAACTTTGTATTTTAAATGGAATGCAACAGATACTCACAAATGCTGAATGTTATAAAGGGACAGCTGTGAGGGACAGTTTGATGTTTGCTTTCTTGCCAAGAGACAGAACAGAAGATCGATTCCACTATCGTACACCTGCAGTAAATATGAAGCTACAGACACCAGCTACTTAGCTTAGCTTGGCACAAATTAAAATTGAAAACGGGGACATAGCTGGAAACAGCTAGCCTGCCTTCGTTAGCCTTTGTAAAAACCTGAGTGCAAAACAACATGTAGTTTCACAGGAGGCTACCAGCCTGACTATTTCTTGGCAGGTATCGTACAGAAACTAGTGATATCAATCTTTTCATCTCAAACACAGCGAGGAAACACATAAGCTTATATCCCCAAATGTTATACTGTTCATTAAAAACACTAATGGTGGATGGCTAATTATGGATGTGATGAGACTCGACACTTCAGTATTAAGTCAACACCAAAACTCTGAAAATGTAATGGTGTTCATTTTTTAATGGTAACAAATGTATCAAAAACACCCCTGCACATGTCATCAATAGGCTGTGTGTGTGTGTGTGTGTGTGTGTGTCACCCTCTGTGGTTTTCATTGAGCTATACTGATAGATAACTGAAATCTCCATATGTTATTTTCAAAACATCAGCATGAGTAGGATGTGAAGCAGGAGGGACAGGCATAAAGTTGACCAACAGACTCGCAGGGTACAGGAATAAAGACACATCAGCTCCTCACAAAGAAACTGGACGAGTGAGTGAGAGTGCAGCATTGTTTGTTTTAAATACATACTGCCAAAACTGACTTCCATTTGATGTCATGATCAAGGTTCCCAAATATGTCTGAAAATGCCTCAGTCATACTTTGAAAATGACAACAGAACAACAACCGATGTCGTTGTGGTTTTTAAGTTCCTTAAAACAAAACTGAACTTTAAAAAAGATGTTTAAACTACCAGACACGATAACAAGACAGAGTATGTGGCAAGTGGCAGATCTTTTGTTTGTGACAAAGAAACTTGTGAGTTATTAGCGTGTTTAGGAGATAGTTATCAGCCAGAATGTTCCATTAGACAATGATAATGAAGCTAAGCTTTCCACCAGTCCTTCCTAACATGGGACATCTGTTGCAGCCGGTGGCTTTGCACTCTACACATAATCAAATTTCTTCTTAAATGTTGCAAATGGACTGACCGATATGTAAAAGAGCAACCTCTCACTTTTCAGGCTTTGATTTAACCAGCTTGTCTGTCTGCGTGACATTTGTGGGAACAAACAAATAAAGGCTTAAAGCAGGCAAATCAAGCCTGACTGATGGCTTATAGAGCTTACACAGGTGTCTGCTTGTGGTTAACAGTAGGAGAATAGACATGACTCTTTAGAATTATTATGGGCGATAATAATGATACGTATGTGTATTTTTTTTTTTACCACTGCTGTCGCTACATCTAAATGGATGAATTCAGCATTCAACAGTTATAGTGTTTGGACAGGCTTTATAGATTCCCCAGCATGTTCCTGTTCATCCCTGACATTGCATTGGCTTCAGGCTTTATTTTTTCTTTTCAGTTCTGTGACAACATTTGCCCTTGACAAATAATATGAGATTTACTTGGGAAGGATAAAAGTTTGTGATAGTGCTAAGACTCTGAGTAAGGACAGAAGACAAATGGAAAAAACATGGCTGGATTCTCCTGAAACAAACATGAGCACTGGAGCGCCACTCTTTTTCAGGAAGGGGAAAGAGGCACTTTGAAAATAAACAGTTAGTTTGGGAAGCTTAGCTTCCTTTACAGTTGACTGTGTGTGTGTGTGTGTGTGTGTGTGTGTGTAAGGGAGAGAGAGCAGGAGCTGTAAATTTAGGCTCTCAGAAAGGCAAACACACATTAGAAGCTTACATAAACAGCGAGAACGTGAGTCACGATGACCATTCATTTTTAACAGCAGTGTCAATGAGTACGTGCTGTGAGAACAGGATGGTGCCACTCAGGAACCATGACACTGTCAGCGTCACCACAACGCTGTAGGACCCCACAGAAAGGGTGGACGACTGGAGACATGCCTCCAGAAGGCCTGACAAGGCTGCTGTGTGTTAGTGCTGTTGTAGTCTCTCATATTTGGAGGACCAACCTATTTAGTTAGTGAGTTAGTGAGTTAGATATTTTTATTTCCAAATTCATGCGCGCGGCAAACAATCTTGTAACTTTGTGAGCAAACAAAACAAAAAACGTTGTTCTGTTATTTCTGAGGTTTACACCAACTACAAAACTCAAACTGTGGCAGATTTAGACATTTTTAGACAAGTTCTAAACTTAAATATTCAGGTTTTTCAGTTTTTTTTACAGCAATACTAACTGTTACATTAAACACCAGGAGTTTCTCTAGGGGGAGTAAAGATCTGAGACTTAGCCCTGCACTCCTTGAATTTGTCTAGGGTTGTGTTTACTAATAGTGAAATGTATAGAATTTGCAATAAATAATTGTTATACTCTCTGGCAACCATATTAACAAAATCAATACTATTTAATTTAATCCAAGACACTATAGCTGCCACAAATTCTATATTTTAAAAAAATTAATTCTTCAGTTCCTGTTGACACAGTTCTCACTTTGCATTAAACTGTGTTTCTAATACTCTTCCCCTCTCATGTTTGTAAAGGAGTGAAAATCATTTATGACAATGCAGTCCACTACAACACAATTACAAAGTACAACCTCTTGAATAAACATACAGTTAAATTAATGCTAAAATTAGTACATTAGTTTGCCCTGTATTTTTGTCGGTGTAAAGAACAAAAAATGCTGAGGAGCTGAGGTAATACGAAGCGAGTAAGCCATATTAAATTATCTAATAGAAAGTTAACTTTTATTAGTTGCTTACTTTGACATAACCACTGCAGTGATACAACAGATAATGGGACAGCTGGCAGTTAATAAAGATAGCGGTCAAGAGAAACTTGCATCGAGCAATGATACGTTTCTGTAAAGTTCAAGTTCAGTTTGTGTCGTGTTTCTACTCATTGACTTCAGAAGTGAAGACAACTTAGGCTGCAGTGTCCAGTGCACAGCTGTCAACACCCCATAATGACATTGGCCCACTTAGGACAATGAAAACATATTGTTGTGAAAGAATAGCACAAAATTCTGAGGAAGGCTCAGGATTGAAAAACAAATTGCTTCATCCAGCTTTAAACAAATGTTTCAGCCACCCTATGTTTAAAAGAAGAACTAATAAAGTTGCATCATTTAGGTATTATCCGCTGCCACTGAACAACCAAACTGTGTAATGTTATGTATTGCGACATGCTTGTGGTGCACTCGTTGTCTTGGGACGTGTTTTGCATTGTATGTAGCAGATCAAATTAAACATTTGTGTTCCATTGAGTGACAAAGATACAATTAATTCTTTTCAAGATGTGAAATCCATTTCCACAATTAAAAAAACAAGACAGCATTGAAAGCAGCAATTGCTAAAAGAGTTTTGCTTTAACCTCTGGTATAGTGCTTTCTAGGAATTAATCTCTCTAAAACACAACTGCAGTCATTTCCTTCTCTAATCCCCTAAATGGATGATAAAAGTGTCTGTCCATGCAAAAAAGCTATTCCCTTGGCATGACTGCATGTGTCTGCACTATCAAATTACAAAAGCAATAAAATAACATGTTTGCTACCATAAGTGTTCGTGTAAACAAGCAGTTGCATGTGATGTATATTTGCATGATGCAGTCACAAATACAGTGCAGCAGCTTAACAGGTTTCAACAGATCACCCACCAAAAGGCTTCTCTACAGACATTTCTCACATAAATAGGACTGTATGGAGTACTGGTCAGGACAACAGAAGCGCTGACATGAGCAAGAGATTCTGAAAAAATATCAACCACGTACCTCTACAATGTCAGAGTTGGTTCTGCTCTCGTGGGGCTCGTTGTACTCGGTGTATTTCAGCAGGACTTTGTCCATGTCAGTGCTAGCATACTGAAACAGCTTGTTGGAGCCATTGAAGATGATGAGGGCGATTTCACAGTCACATAGAACGCTCAACTCGTAGGCCTTCTTCATCAGACCAAACTTCCTCTTCATGAAAGTCACCTGGAAAACAAAACCAAACATCACACTAGGTTTCCACAAAGAGAGATTGGCCATGATAAGTCTTTGCTCAGAGCCAAATTTTGACCAACCAAAAAGCAGCTGACACTACATGTACTCTGAATGTATTGTTAAAAGTTCATCTGCTGTCACTGATCAAACTGCTAAAAACTCATGTCTATGTATCAGTGTTACAAATTATCCATCCATCCATTATCTATAAACCATTTAATCCTTACTAGGGTTGCGGGGGGGCTGGAGCCTATCCCAGCTGTCTCAGAGTGAAGGCAGGTTCATCCTGGACAGGTAACCAGTCCATCACAGGGCTACACTTAGAGACAGACAACCAAGCACACTCACATTCACACCTACGTACAATTTGGAATCACCAGTTAACCTCAACAGGCTGCAATGTGCACAGTTGCTTAGCACTGTTGCCTCGCAGCAAGAAGGTCGCAGGTTTGCGTCCCGGTGGGGGCACCAGGATCTTTCTGTGTGGAGTTTGCATGTTCTCCCCGTGCAGCGTGGGTTCTCTCCGGGTTCTCCGGCTTCCTCCCACACAGTCCAAAAACATTTTGAGATTAATTGGTGATTCTAAATTGTCCGTAGGTGTGAATGTGAGTGTGCTTGGTTGTCTGTCTCTAAGTGTAGCCCTGTGATAGACTGGCGACCTGTCCAGGGTGTCCCCTGCCTTCGCCCTAAGTCGGCAGGGATAGGCTCCAGCCCCCCGCAACCCTAGTGAGGATTAAGCAGTGTATAGATAATGGATGGATGGATGTCTTTGGACTGTGTGGGAGGAAGCCGGAGAACCCAGAGGGAACTCATGCTGCACGGGGAGAACATGCAAACTCCACGCAGAAAGATCCTAGGTGGGACGAACTGGGGATCTTCTAGCTGTGAGGTGACGGCTGTCATTTGTACTTAATAAATGTGCCAAAAGTTCATTTTGAAATGGGAAGCACTGTTTTAAGTACTCTGCTGCCTGGAACTCACTGCAGAACACATTGAATCTAAAGGAAGTCATCACCCTCGGATCTTTTAAAAACCATATGAGAGATTTTGTAGCAACTACATATCACGCCTGTTGTTCAATGGAAATTCTTAATCTTGTGGCTTATATCTACCATGTATTCTACTTATGTTGTTAGGTGTTGTTTGTTTTTAATTGTTGTAATTTTAATGTTTCTAAGGTTGCTGCCTTGGCCAGGCTTCCCTCATAAAAGAGCTCATTGTATCTCAACAGGACCGACCTGGTTAAATAAAGGCTAAATAAAAAAACAAAAACACTGATCCACCATGCAGCCCATGTTACAAATTATATTAGCTGAAAACAGAATGACACTTGATAAGATGTGACTACAGTATAATTCAGGTTTGTTTTTGTTTTTTTTATCATTCCTGACTAGATTTTAAAAAATGACTTCTTTTAGATGATGAAATCCAAATAGTCAGACTAATGGCAGCAAGACACATAATCCAGTGTGCATTGTTTTGCAGCCTCGAATATGTGGGGTGTGGTGCAATAATAGTAATAATCAGACAAATTTGCAACGACACAAATATTTCCTTTCAGCCATTTAGGTTCCCTTACCCAAAAAACTGATGATGGGCCAATAAACACCGTGGTAGAATGAGCCTCTGCCACATTGTCAGTCGCTAACAGAGCTCCATGGTCATGAGAAAAGAGAAGGATCAAATGTGCATCACACATGAAGGAGACAGTGAGGGGTGGTGGTGGTGGTGGTTTCTCTGTGTCACATTTGAATTCCTAAAAGAAGGCATCTATAACATGGAAATTTACTTCTGCTGAAATACTACTGATTGAGTGGATGGGAAATGTGGGTTGGGAAAGCTACTGAGTAATATTTTCTCCTCCCTAAATGATAACTGTCAAGGTGATCAGCCCTAATAGGAATCAATAAGGGAGTGGTTGTGTATTAACCTTTCCTGCAGAAATACAGCTTAAAAACATCCCCAAGCATATACTGTGATATTGTACTGTGGTACCAAAAATGGTAACAGTTATTCTTGACCCGTCCATGTTCCTCTCAACTGTAAAGCTAAAATGTATTGCTTGGACCATTTGCTCACACTAAACCTACACACAAACCACAAGTCACACATCGATCATACACGCTTGTAATGTTTTTGGTAAGTAGCTCACTCCTTGCAGTGAATCATCTGTACTTATCTGTGTATGTCTTCCTTCAGTCATAGCTTCTGGGATCATGACTCATATCACATATCAAGAATTTTTCTTAGAATCTTGCGGTTGAAAGTTTTCAAAGTATCAGGTGTATTTCATAGCGCCCTTACTTTTTTTGCTTAAACAGTGAACTCTGTAGCTGAACAGTTTATGGAACAGTTCAGTTCAGTTCAGTTCAGGTTGGTGCTCGAAGCATTGTATCAGCTGTAAGTGACAATGGCGAGAGTCTTCATCATTCAAACAGTCCAGTCCCACACATACTGAATAATGACATGGGGCAAAGTAATATGCAGTCTAACCAGAAATATAAGCTACTCAAAAGGCCTAGTTTTTCTTGTTTCAGTTTTGAGTTTGTGTTCTGCCAAATGCTGCAGTTTAATGAGCTGAATTGTGAATTATCCTATAAACTTGACTTGGGTGAGGGTTTACTGGCATTTCAGGCAACTGTGGTTGCATTCCATTAATCTGTTCAGTAGAAAACACCCACTCATCTCTCATACTTTTCTGCTCTTCTTGTTCTTACTTGCTTCCGAAATTAAGAAAAAAATCCCTTTATAGCCTGGCATTGTACTACTCATTACTTTTTCCAGAGCACTTTGCTACTTTTAATGGTTATTCACTGGTCACAGGAATGTCACCTCAACCAAGAATCCATCATGACCAAACAATAACGTATGCTTAGTCCAAGTCTAACCACATCAAAAGTCTAAAAACGGTCATGTCCTTGTTGTCCTGTGAGAATCATATATCTATTTGAAGTGATTTTCAGGTTTTTAGATAAACTATAGGACTATCAGCTTCTGTGGGGTGAGATAACTCTCATCTATCTTTGGCTAAAGAAAAATACTAACAGTATCTTGAATTACCACAGTGACAGTGTCATTGCTGAAATGTCTGCAAGAGCCAATGTATTTTGCAGTCAGTCATTATGCAACATTCATTCATGGTAGCAGAGTCCACCATTCCCTCAGATGTTTTTGAGGGATTCACTGGAAGCTACACAGCATGTCCTCTCTAATTTCTGCTAATGCAAACCTACTGCTGTTGCTTCACAATAAAAGCATTCTGTTGAAACACAGGTGGTTCTGTGTGAAGGACACATGTAAAACACTGAGGATGTCACTGAGATTAAGGCTTACAGGAAAAATGTACAAACAATTAGTTTTTATTAATTGGTCATTTAAAAAATTAATGTAACAAGAAATAGAAACCCGTGTAAGCCGTTAGATTAAGGCTGTTAAAAAAAAGTGCATTGTTTGGCTGGACTGTAAACACTGAAACCAGTTGCTCTTCAGTCGTATTTCTAAGAGAGTTCTGTTTGCTGTATTATTAAATAGCACTTGAGGTTTCTGCAATCTTAATGACTTGTATCTTAACATACTTTTAAAGCAAGGTCGTTTTTTTTTTTTTTTCTTTTCTTATTTTATTAAACGTTAAAGTTTTGGTGATAACATGCTGAGTATAAAACATGGCCTTCCTATGCCTATGTCTGTCAGATGTTGTATTAAATGGGTGGAACCTAGTGACTTACAGGTGCTCTCATCTTCCAGTCCCACTTGAAGGCTTTTACTCTCTGACTAAAAGCCATCAACTGCAGAGAGTATCATTATATATGCATGACAGTATGGTTGCTTTTTCTTTTTTACAGTACAGCGAAGCAGAAAGACAACCATGTATATTACAAGAGTCTTGAGCTTACAATGGCTCCTAGGAGTCATAATTTTCTGTGATTAAATCATTAAAATGTATGCGTCTTTGTCACACACGCACACACACACACGCACACACTGTTCATTTTGCATCTTTCATAGATTTATTATAGATCCTCTGGAAATATGAAAAAAAATCTGCAGGGTCAAAAATATTGAGTGAGTGATTACAATTGACTACAGCTGCTGACTTTCTAAGCAAGTTTATGTAGGGCCCATCTGATCCACTCATCAAACTCAGACACAATCACCACAGTGGGAAAGTCTGAGGAGCTCAGCACAGATCTGAAGAAGGAAACCCTTGACTTGGAAAGGTCAGGAAAGTCACTGAGTTATCTGTGCAAACAACTGTAAGTATAAAGTCCATGGCACAATTGTGTCACTCCAACGATCAGGAAGAAAACACAAGCTATTACTTTCTGTTGAGAGACATTTGATCAAGATGGACAAGAGTCATCCAAGAATCACAAAAAAGCAATAAATAAGAAGCTTCTGCAACACAGGTGTCAGTGTCTTAAGTCGAGCGTGCTTTCCATAACCATGGGCTGGGAGACTATGCTAAGAAGAAGCTCCTCCTTCAGAAGCAGCATCTTAAAGGTCGACTGAAGCTTGCTTCTGACCACATGGACAAAAAAAAGGCCTTCTGGAGGACAGTTCTGTGGTCAGATCAAACAAAATGGAGCTATTTGGCCACAATGACCAGGAATATGTTTGGAGGAAACAAGGCGAGGCCTTTAACCCCAAACACACCAAACCTACCATCAAGCAAGGTGGCGGCAGTATTATGCACAAGGGCTCTTTTGCTGCAAGTGGAACTGGTGATTTACATAAAGCAAATGGAATAATGAAGAAGGAATCCTTCTTTAATCATCAGCCCACAAGTTGTGTCTTGGATACAGTTGGGTGTTCAGACAAGACAATGACCCTAAACACACATCAAAGTGGTAAAGAAATTGCAAAAAAGACTTATGTTTTAGATTAATTCCTGACTAAAACCCCATCAAGAATCTGTTGACTGTTCTGAACAAACCACTGTGTGTCAGACAACCAAAACATTTAGTTTAACTGTACCAGTTTTGTCAAGAAAAGTAGTCAAAGATACAACTAGAAGCTTGTGGACAGTCACCTAAAGTGCTTGGTTGAGGTGAAAATGGCCAAGGGACATTTAACCAAATAATTTAACCAAATTTTTGACCCAGCAGAATCTGACATACTTCCAGAAGACCAACAATAAATCTTTTCTGACAAAAGCACAAGTGTTTTAATGATTCCATTATAGAAAATTAGGAATTCTAGGAGTCATTGGAAAACCAAGACTGCTGTGATAAGCGTGGTCTTTACATGTGTGTGTAAACTTTTGTTCAGGACTCTATATAGTCAGAAAAGTACATTTTTTGTTTGTTTGTTCTGTTTTTTACAGTTATTTCTTAAATTAGATTTAAAAATTTGCCTATTATTTATCAAGCATGATTTGCAAATAAGGGGCTGCAAGATGGAGCAGCTAGTAGCACTGTTGCCTCGCAGCAAGAAGGTTGCCGGTTCGCGTCCCGGTGGGGGCACCGGAATCTTTCTGCATGGAGTTTGCATGTTCTCCCCGTGCAGCGTGGGTTCTCTCCGGGTTCTCCAGCTTCCTCCCACACAGTCCAAAAACATGTTGAGGTTAATTGGTGATTCTAAATTGTCCGTAGGTGTGAATGTGAGTGTGCTTGGTTGTCTGTCTCTACGTGTGGCCCTGTGATAGACTGGTGACCTGTCCAGGGTGTCCCCTGCCTTCGCCCTAAGTCGGCTGGGATAGGCTCCAGCCCCCCCGCGACCCTCGTGAGGATTAAGCGGTGTATAGAAAATGGATGGATGGATGGATTTGCAAATAGATATTTGAGAAAGGACATGGCAAAGGACTACATTGTTCCTTTTTTTAGAATATGTGGTTGCTAATAGTTGCTGTATTGCCAGTGTATCTCTCCACTACAGTAATGTTGGAGCTATACAGTGTGCATAATGTGCAAGAGTGTGAAAAAATAAAAAAAGAGCAAAAACTGCTAATCACACTTGATGTGCTTGACAGATAAAACAAGACCACAAGCCAGCTTCCCAAAATAGAGTACAAGAACCTAAATATACGGCAGACTCCAGTGATAGTGCACACCAGACAACTAAAGTAGTGTCTATCTAAAAATGCTCTGGCCAAGACAACCAAACATCAAATATAAACATCATCCCAGATATTTATTTTCCAGCCACATCCCTATTTCCAGAGCCTGCGCCTTCCTTCCAGACAGCCTGGTATTTGTTGTGCTGTTGGGGGTGATATATATAGAGGAGACAGACAGCGAGGGATTCCAGTGGGCAGCAGTGTGGCTGCGTAAGGAGACGGTGAGGAGAGAAGGCCACTGTGTGTCCCTAACACTGACCCGCCCTGCTAATGACAGGGTGCTGTCCGAACCCAGCTAACCCCAAATTACTGCCCTCACCACCAGCTGTGACCACTGCACTCTCAAAAGTGAAATGACTTAGAGAGACCTTTAGGAGCTCCTTGGACTGAAAGCAAAGGGGATTTGCAAAAGGTTCCTTGAGGGATCCCTTCACTGAGTGTTTATGAACCTGTCAACACTTGCACATCCATATTTTTTGAAGGGGAGCTCTTTAGTTAAAATGTGAGTTTGTTTGTTGCTCCTTTGGATCTCAGAATATAGCCAAGGTATAGTCCCAGGTTATGAGAGTGATTTCAGCACAATTCAGAAGTCACACATCAACGCATCAGATATCATGAAAAATAAACATAATAACCAAACAATTACAAAACTGCAACTCGATGTTGATTTCCAAAAAAAAAAGACAGTCTTTTCTTTGCAGAGTAGCAGGGATAAGGAGCAGTGCAGCCGCTTATGAACAGTGAAGGTCCTTGCTTAGAGATTTTTGTGTAGAAGACAAACAACACATTACTAATTGTAAGATAAAATGTAAGAAGACAGGAGAAGAAGAAGACACTGACCTGTCGGTTCCTCTCATCTACAATCCGGGTGATCTGAATCTTCTTCCTCCCCATTGCCAAAACAACTTCTACTAACAGCCAAAGAGGAATATCAGTGGGCTCCAGGTAGTTAAGAATTCAAGAGACAGTCCTTAACACATAGTCCCAATGTCAGTTTCTGTTTCTGGCATCCGGCATCAGCTGGGCATGGCTTGCTGAAACAGAGACAGTCAGAGTAAACCTTAACCTACTGTAAATCAGATATCACAGTATAAATATGGACATACAGTTATATTTAGCAAAAGCAATTGAAATACTTCATCAAATCACACAGTTGAAATTCATAAGAGCATCACATACCAGAGGATCATAGATTGCCTGCATTCAGACAATTCAATTTTCGATTAAATTCAATTAAATTAAATTTTATTTGTATAGCGCAATTCACAACACATTCTATCACACAGCGCTTAACAAAGTAAGGTATAGACTTTACAAACTTAAACAGAGAACCCAACAATCCAAAATAGCCTTTGGACTTCCACTGAGCAAGCAGTTGGCAAAAGTGGGAAGAAAGTCATTTATAAGACATACGGTAGTATCAAAAAATGTAATTTGTGTCCCTTAACAGAATGAGTAGTGATAAATGTATCACTAATACAGCTTAAAGTAAGTTACATGAATACAGTTATTGGTGCGTGCCAAAGACCACTCAGTAACAGACTGTGATAGGTGCCAGTTCATTTAGAACTGACAGGTCATTCTCACAACGTGTCTTCCGGCTTTTCTCCTCAGTCTGATATTGTAAACCCTGATGTCATTGCTGATTCCACTATCATAGTAAGAAGGAGCACACGAGCTGCTCGTTTTCACCGGACAGCAAGAAGCTTCACCAAGAGCACACAAAGCACACCGAGTTTCACTGACCCACCAGCAGGACTTGATTGTCCAGCAACAAGGACATGATCCTTCATCACCAACTTCTCACCCACAACACACAACCGAGCCAGGGACAAAACTTGTGATTTCTGTTTGTTCTTAAGAGCCACTTTCAAAATACTTTTAACCTCTGAGGTTTTTTTGAATCTGTGACCACTGGATTTATATTAAACACACCAAAAGCAAACATGAACACACACTGAGAAATGCTAAGAGAAAAAAAATGTTCATCTACTTCATCACGCACCTTGTACTGTACAGCAGCCTCCCAACTCTCCTTCATCTGCACCAATCAATTCAGCCCAGTCGTCTTGTGTGAACTCACTACTGATTTTCCTGCTTTCTCCTCCTGCAGGAGTGCCCACCTGCCTTGATGTGTCCCTCCTCTCTTCAGCCTTGGTGTTTCTGAGCCCTGCCTTCCCCCAGAGCTCCTTAGCTCTTTCCTAATCTCATCTGATCTGGGAGGAGGCAGAGAGTGAGACGAAGCCAGGCTTTATCCTAACCCTCCCTGGATTATTGCAGCATGTGGAGCCCAGAGCTGAGCCACCAAAACCCCCACTGCAAAACCAGTTTACAGAGTTGTGAGATAGAAAAAAAATATTTGTCCTTCACTGAAAAAAAACCATTTGCGACTCTGGCTGATACAAATGAAGCCTAAATATTAAAAATATAGTTTATCTATATATTACCAAAAAAATACAGCTGAGTGGCAGTTATGTAAATGCAACATACAGCAGATGAATGAATAATAAACAAAATTAAATTAAAAATCCCACTTGGATTTAAAATGCATCTAAAGTCTAGCTGCTATTTCTCTGATGGCTTTTTTAGCCTGTTGTGGTCTTGTTCCACTTAAGTGATTATTTGAGAGCCTATGTTATATTTTGCTCATATGTTCTTGAATATTGAAAGCTAAATTACATGTAATCCTGACTGATTTGCAATAGATTGCACACTATTGTTCTATCCCTTCCAGTTCACCACCAGCTCAGATTCCTGCTGACCGTGCCAAGTCAGTTCAGAATACACTGTAACAGACAAAGACTCCTTGCATATTTAGGATTTAAAGGTCACAAGGATTTATCTGTTTTACAATCTGGATTATTTGATGGCAAGACACAAATATTTTAAAACGAGAAAAAAATCCTTTCCACCATACTATCGTCTATAAACATTTCCGCAATTATTTCTTTCAGTCTGTGTTTTTGAGAGATGGTTTAGTTTAATTGCTATGTTATGTTGCTAAGTTTAAAGCAGCTAAATCCTTGCAGCAGTCACTCTACGGTGCCCTGGTCTAGTAGGAACGTCTTTGAAGAAAACAAATCCCTTTTAAAGCTTAAAATATTTAATTTATTGAACCAATAATAATGTGGTCATCTGTTTAAAAAAAAAACAGTGCATTTAGAATAATTGATTAAATTTCATGATGAACACTATGAATCACAATGAAAGAATGAACTGTTCCCTCAGATGCCAATACCAGCATTAACTGGGTTTAGAGCATCTTCTAAAATGGCAGGTCGTATGGAGCGCTCCCAGTATGCAGTGGTTAGTACATATGAAAAGCTTAATAATTTGTAGTTGTCACAAGCTGTGTTGCCATAGTGAAGAAAACAAAATACACGAGGAAATGTTTTGCTAGTGGGACTGCCCTGGATGATTACTGTAATTCTGCGTAAGTTTCATTGTTCACACCGTCAGTAGATGTCTAGTGTCCACATGTTGTCCTTTGAATGTTTCATTGTAACTTTGATGGCAACTGAAACCTTAAATACAGAATACCAATACAACAGAAGCTTACTAAATGTTTGTGACAGTATATCCAAGACCCAGACTGTCAAGTCTGTCTAGCAAATATGGAATCTGTTCTACATTTATTGTACATGTGCTTCCCAGACAAGTTGTCCTGATCAGTTCGGATGTAATATGTTAGTGTGGCAGAAACTCTATCTGGTTGACATAAAAATCAATACAACCCAGAGCAATAAACCAACAGGCTGCAGCAACCAGCACCTACAATAACATGTACAAGGCTGAGCTACATACTGTAATGTTAGATTCAAGAGGAATGTTGCACCTAATGCAATACAGTGAGAGACACAATTTAAGACATTTGACAGGAATTTGAAATGCGCTTCATATAGTACTGACTGACTGAAATACTAGAGTTATAATGTTTAACCTCTTGGGGTTTGTCAGCTTATACATTAACATGGATATGTACCCCTTGGTGGTAAAGTTATACATATTAACACTGGATCTGAAAACTGATCAAACATCAGTGAAACATCTCTGTTGTTTTCTAATTTACACTTACTCTGACCTTCTCAATGCCTCTCTTTAACTTTAAAATACCCCCCAACCCTCCGGATGCAAGAAGTGCTAAGCCCCAGAGCGAACCTCACAGCCAAAGACCCTCCTCTTTATCTCACCCATGAAATCCAATTCCTGTGGATCTTTGAAAGCGTGACCATGCTTTGTGAGGGTGTGAAACACACATTTCCAAGGTTGGACTGCACAGGATTTTCAATCTGTTATACCATTACAATAGCAGAATCTCACTTATTGTTGTTTTGGTAAATAGAATCAATGGGTTTCTATCTAAGATATTTCTACACATAAAGTATTCTGAATATTGTGCAAGATCACATGATAAGCAGAACAGAAATGTTTTCTCCTCTCTTTGCCAAAACATTGTTTCTGATGGCTAATATGACTGTCAATAAATGTGCCAAAACGTTGCCTTGACTGTAAGAGTTGAGTCTGACAGAGCATGACAGTTGTCAGCACTTCACATATGGATGCTTCGCAAATATCCTCAACCCAACAGCACAGAAGACCTACGTAGACCCTAGGGTTTTCTGATGGGTTGCATTGGTTAGTGTTATCAATTCAGTATTTGACCAAAATGAAATATGGTCAGAATGCCCCTATCTGTCCCTGACTTACAGCGTTTAGTAATGGGCAGAGGAGTGTTTTGCAGATAATTAGAATATAAAATATCATAATGTTATTCTAATTCACAACTTCATGAACTGACTGACAGATGCTTCACACACATCTTCAACACAGCAGAAAAGAAGGTCTATACCAGGGGTATTCAACTAAAAGTCACTTAGGTCGGGGCGCCCCTATAGCTCACCTGGTTGAGCGGGCGACCCATGAACAGGGGCTGTAGTTCCCCGACACAGCGGTTGTGAGTTCGACCCCGCTCGTGAGTTTGCTGCAGGTCTCTCCCCATTCTTCTCCCCCCTTTCCTGTCTCACTCTCTCACTGTCCCAACTAATAAAGGCAAAAACGCCAGAAAAAATAATCTTTAAAAAAAAAAGTCACTGAGGTCCAGTTATTAAAATTTCCTCCAAGTAAAAGGTCACGTTTTCATGGTTTCAACAATACTTATTGTCGATTTTCAGTGCAGGATATGTTTAACTGAATGCACAGTTAGTTCTTTTACCATATATATAAATAGTCCCCGGCAAAAAAAATTGAGGCCTTTATTTCAGATTAGAGAAAACAAGAAACTCAGAATAAAATACATTTTAAAAAGTGCAAACAGAGCCGAATAACCCTTTGATCTCTTAAATTGAAGAGGTCCCAGCCTAAAGAACTGAAGACCTCCACTTCAAGTAAAAAAGTCAACATCCTCAGAAAACAATAAATAAAAGGCTTTGTTTGCACGTTGCTGGACTATAAATGTGCGTGATGAGTCGGGTAGATCTGTCATACTGGGCTTGCAGCTCGGTTATTTTGCGTGCTCTCAGCTCGGACTTCAGGGGATAACTTTGCTCAAAAGAGCTGTGCTTTGTTTCGTAGTGGCGCTCATGTTGCTACTTTTAATTAATGCCACGTTTTCAGAACATATGAGGCACACTGGTTGTGAACTGCCTGACGGAAGAATGAACATAAACTTCTCCATCCCTCATCTTCAAAGCAGTGGTTTTCCTCATCAACCTTCCTTCTTTTGGAGCAAGCCATGCTGTCATCACTGTCTCTTCCTCTCTGCTCTGCTGTATAGCGAGCAGCAAGCTGTGGTGGTGCGCTGGCCGTGTAGGGCAACCAAACGATTTGATTGGCTGGGCTGAGTGGAGCTATTGCCATATTGGAACAGCAGCACCCGCTGTCTATAGCCGCAACCGTCGGAAAAAATGCTCCATGAAAATCTATTGTCGTGAATTTATCAGAGATTGATCACGGGTCCGGACAGAACCATCATTCAGTCCATATCCAGACTGACGTCCATCATTTGATGATGCCTGGTCTACACAATCTCTATGAT